AGCACCCTCTCAGATTTCAATGAAACTTTGTGGATGTGTAGACCTTGACTTAATAAGCCACTTTGCATGTTTAGTTTTTCCAAAATTTATCAAGACTATCATTTGAGAAGGGCGAAACTTTCATCGCTGATTTTTTTTTCAACAAAATACAATGGAAAAATTGCAACTACTACAAAAAAGTGTTGTATTAATGACTTTTAGGAAATTGTCAAAATTTTTGAATGCAATTTCCATTTGAGACCTACACTGAAAAAAACAATTTTTCTGAAAATAGGTTTAAAGGCTGACTAAAAGTAAATTGGTACGCCCTTTGCGCGCCGCTAGCACGCGTCTAGTGTTGGACATCGGAAATCTTTGACAGTGGTTTGTTTACACTTCTATGTAGAACAACTGGTGCAATTTGATCATAGTAGTCGATCGCGTTCAGAAATAACGTCAAATGGAACTCGAAAGAAGAAAAAAATATTGTGTACAAACACCTGGAAAATCCGGAGTTGTCCGGTTGCAAGCTGGCTAAAGTGCTGAAGATGCCGAAAACAAATATTTGTCGAGTGCTCAAAACCTACAAGGAAACCCTGAGTGTGGAAAAAAATCAGCGGACCTACGAAAAAGCTGGAACCAGGGATTGTCAGCTGCGCAGCAAGATGTTGAGATGCGTTGAAGCCAACCCCGGTCTTTCGATCCTAGATGTGACCAGAAGGTACAATGCCAACTTTCAAACGGTGCGGAACATCCTTGCCAGGGAAGGATACAAGTCGTACAAAGCCAGTAAACAGCCCCGTAACGTGGGTAGATCACCTTTTCGTGGTACGTTACGGGATGTAAGATCTACCACCGATTCCTAGTCTTGAGTACTTCAAACTAAGGGAACAGGATGTTTCAGTAATCAAAGAAACACATCTTAGTCCTTGTTACTTGTTATAGGAAGTTTGTTAACGAACAACGTCATGAAGATGGTCTGCCGTCGTCTATGATACATAATGGTAACGTGGCCTCATCTACGCAAGATATCTGTCAGCTGTTCTCTGAAAATTTTTCTAGTGTCTTCACGGACGAGAGACTGAGTGACGGCCATGCCCGACTGGCTGCCAGTTACGTAACACTCTCTGGCCAAACCATGAGCAGAATTGACATCAATCCCGAGCAGTGGCGTCGCGTAGCTTCACTTTTTACCTGTTCAACGACTTTTAAAACATTATTTAGGGTCATGCTTACATTCAGATAAGTTTCAAAAGGCACAGTGTCTTCTAGTTTCACTGATTTGTGTATCCAAAATTGGAAGCAATTTTTTTTTAAATTTATTGATGTTTTGAGAGTTGTTCAGCAGGTAGATTGAGGTTAGGGCGACGCCACTGATCCCGAGATGTTTTCCTGGGCTCCCTCGAAACTCAATTCGTCGTACAATCCGGGTCCTGACGGACATCGGTGTTCCTCAAAACGCACTTGGACAGTTTGCAGTCTCCACTGCTGCATGTTTTTCAATGGTCCGTGGACGTCGGCGTTTTCCAATCCTGTTGGAAGCTAGCGCACATGTTTCCAGTACACAAGAAGGGCAACAAAAAGGAGGTTGGCAACTACCGTGGCATCTCGCTTCGTGTTCGAACTCGGAACCGTTTCTCGCTCACTGTAAGCCGTATATTAGTATCGACCAGCATGGTTTCATGGCTGGTCGCTCCACTGCCACTAACTTGCTGTGCCTTACTTCCTACATCTCTAACAGTATGTCGGTTCGTGCTCAGACGGATGTCGTTTATACTGACTTATCTGCAGCCTTCGATGAATTGAATCACCGCATATCAATCGCAAAACTGGACAGGCTTGGTAGCCACGGCTGCCTTTTGCTACGGTTTCAATCGTACCTCACCGACCGCTATCTTACTGTTGTCATTGGTGATCACCAGTCCCGTATGTTCGCTGCCACGTCCGGCATACCCCAGGGTAGTCACCTGGGAACGCTGATTCTCCTGATTTACTTCAATGACGTGAATCTGGTAATTGAGGGACCACGATTAACTTACGCAGATGGCCTTAAACTCTTCCTTCGAATTCACTCAACTGTTGCTTCCTTCAACGTCAGCTGAATGCTTTTGGTGATTGGTGTATTCTGAATCGTATGGAAGTTAACCCGTCCAAATGCTCGGTTATCTCTTTTTCGCGCAAGAAAGAGACTATTATGTTCAATTATGTTTTGTTAGGCACTGAAAATGAGCGCGTCAGCCTTATTAAGGACCTAGGTATGATTCTGGATGCACAACTCTCTTTCAAGCAGCACATCTCGTATGTCATCTAGAAAGCTTCCAGAATTCTAGGGTTTTTTCTTCAGGATTGCCAAAAAACTTCACGGATATCTACTGCCTTAAATCGTTGTACTGCTCCTTGTCTCGCTCCATATTAGAATACTGCTCGGTTGTCTGGACTCCTCACTACAACAACGGTGTCGAAAGAGTTGAGTCTGTTCAGCGACGGTTAATGACATATGCGCTACGTAAACTGCCGTGGACGGATCCTTTCTGATTGCCTAGCTACGAAAGTCGTTTGCAACTGATCCATCTGGAGCCCCTGTTGGTCCGAAAAGATTGCTAATTGCAGACATTTTTGCAAGGACACACCGATTGCCCTGTTCTCCTTGAGCAAATTGACATCAATGTTCAACCTTGCTGCGCCTGCCCATACAGCGAACTAATTATAGCATTTTCGGCGCAATCGGTGGTTTACAGAGACTCTTCAATAGGGTCTCCGCACTATTTGACTTTGACCTGACTCGCCATCTGCTTCGCCGGAGGTTTAGTTCATTTTTTGATGAGATGACTATTAACTTATTGATGTTTAGTTTTGGTACTTTTCATGTTTAGTTTAGGTTACATCATTGGGGCCAATGACACCTGTTGATGTTTAGTCATAAATAAATGAATAAACCAAAAGTTCACAGTGAACTTGTTCGAAACGGATGTGGACATTTCTGCAGCCTTGTCTAGAGTTCCTAAGAAGTAACCATGGAAAGCTTATTCAGCTTAAATGCTGTTTAGGGGTGCTCTGCGGAACTTATTTTGAACTTCAAGTTGCTGAGAGTACGCTTGGTTGCTTTTTAGAGCTTGAAACTTTATGAAACTTGAAAGTGGTGAAATGCCGAACTTTTGGTTGCATGTTTTAATAAAAACCAGTATAAATCGTAAACCACAAAAGATAGAAAATTGTTTTCTTCAGCAACATAATTTGTCTCTCTTCAATTGTCGAATACAACTTTGTCGAATAACTAAAAAGTTTATTTTAAGAAGTCTACAACCTACGGATCACTCTAACATGGCCAATGAAATCAGTCCAAATTTGAGTTCAGTTCACTCATAACTCACTTAAAGTGCAGGAACGCAGCGATGAGTAAATTTGCCTCATGTTTTCCTGTGGAAAATCTCAATAATCGGCCAGAAGATTAGGAATTGACGAACATTTGACTCATTCTAGAAGTAGTACCAATGGACTGAATGGATCCAATATAGACTTTTTTCATATTTGGAATTTTTTTCCTGGAAAAAAAATCTTGAAAAACTCAGGAAAATTTACTCAGTGCTGAGTTCCTGTACTTTTTGCGGTTTATGAGTAAACTGAACTAAAATTTGTGTCAATCTCATTGGCCGTGAATAACATGAACATCAAATAATTGGCTAAAATAAATGGAAAGTTTTCCCGACGACGCTATTTAGGGGCTGTTCATTAATTACGTAGACAGTTACACGGGGGGTTGTCAATTATCGACGGCCCATACAAATTTAAAAAAATTGTTTTTGGACAATTGTCTACGCAGGGTCAACAAACCCAAAAAACTGTCAACGTTGTTAATGAACAATGGCACAAACAATTTATTGAACCTAAATACGGCTTTTGGACCACTCTGAAGTGTTTTGAAATGACCATTAATTGAGAACTCTCGTCTTTTATGATCGAAAATTCTGACGACATCTGGCATCAACCATTCTGACAGAAACCTTCAGAGGCCTATCTGATCAAATAATGTCGGAGTGATATGCACTAACGAGGAACTGAAGAATCTTAGAATCATCCAGGGCACCAGAATTATTCCGATCGAAAAACACGGTGAACAATCTAGTTAAATCCTGCATTTGAGAAGTATTTTTTTTAAATTTTTAATAATTAAATAAAGGGAGCTCCAGGTTAATATTAAGCACAATTTGCCTAACACATGTTATCTACTCAAAGTAAGCTTTTATATTTGATTAACTATTTCTATTTTGAACACATTCCCAAATGGAATAGTCCAACGTAAATTGAAAGTCTACAGAACATGTGACTACGCGAACAACAGAAGAGCATTACCCGAGCAGGAGAAAATAACTTATGAATACAAAATTTAGAAATGATAAAAACATAGCTGGCAACCTTAATGTGGTGTTGACGAGTCTGACTGACGGATACTCAACACTTTTTTGATGCCATAATACCATTATTGTTATTTAAATGGTCTTTTAATACCAATCCAATAGCTCTTGTAGGTGCTATTGTCAAACAACTTAAAGATCACGCTTTGTTATTTTGATATTTAATTGATATTTAACAAAACATAACGATAACTGTCTAACAGCACAACAACGTTTTACACCACCACCAACATTAGGCATCATACCAAATTAAGATATTCAAATGTTATCGGTTAGCTATCGGTTCTTGCTCGGGTAAACACCTGAATTTTAAATTTGTGAAACTAGATCTGTCCCAAGTTCGTACGTAGGCTTCGATACATTCGTGTAAAGATACATGCATTGGACAAAAAAAAATAACGAGCGGTAATAAACAATGACTGACCAAATTATGGAGCTATCCTCTACGGAAAAGATAATATGAATAATAATAAAATAATAAAACCAACGAAGCACGACATACTACCAAACGATCTAAGCGACCGGAAACAATTCCGAGTGGGTTGTGTGGGAGTGTAAAATAGCACTAAAATTGATAGGGTAGATAAAAATTTCTGAAAATAGACTCACATCTCTCATATTATACGTAATTTCCAAACTATTTACAAAACTATCATAAAATTCCGGAAATAAATCTAACACGTCTAATAAGTCATCTCTATGAATCTTATGTAGATCACAATAAGTTAGTGCTTTAACATTACTGTTTGATTTTCCCAGCGTCGAGTGAATGCAGGGATTTTCCCCGAAAATATCATCTTTGCCTGCGAAATTGAGGAGAAGGAGGAGAAGGACGTGTTAGCACGAGATAGAGATTGCACTCGATTCGTCACTTACCTAATATCGCCATGACTACGTCGTCTTTCAATATCTCTATCGAGCCACGTGCTATAAAGTATAGGTACGTGAGGACGTCCCCCTTGTGCAACAGGGTGTCACCGGGCGGAGCGTGGGTGGTTTTAAACTTTAACGAAAGTGCTCTGAAAAACGAGGAAAAGAACATTCACAATGGCAACAAGTGAGTTGATGTGGGGGGGTGGGACTCACCTTAAGCAGCCAGGGCTGGCTGCTTCGAAGGCGGAGCAATTGTTGAGCAGGTTCCGGTTGAGATGCAAGCAGATATCGGCCTGCAAGCACTCGGGGAACCCTTTCAGCACCGAGTTCATGTCGATGCCGTTGGTGTAGGTCCAGGCGTGCTGGAAGTACTCCTCCAGCCGCTGCCTCAGTGGGTTGGGGATCTTTGAAAAGTGAAGAAATGAGCGGGTATTGTTATTTCGCAATCAACAGCTCGGCCCTGAAAAGTGCTTTATAGGTGGGTGGTATGCAAGGGGGGCGAGGTCGGTTCGCACTTCCGTGCGGATAATTTACCTGGTGAAACCGAATGAACTCGCGAACACGCAACATCTGTGTGTGATATCGTGCCGTGCCGGAGTATAACCGTTGAATGATGGCCGAAACGTTACCGAAGATGCTGGCGTACATGAGGGCTGGTTGGCGGGTTTGTGTTTTTGTGTGTGTGTGCGTTGTTTGTTCCGTTTTTACGATCCGAGGCCGCAGTGGAAGCGTTATTTAGGTTGGAAGAAATGAGGTGAAATTTATGCATTAAGGTTATGTTCAGAATCCACAGAAAGCTGCGATACGCAGTGCTCCCGATTCCGGAGGAATATGCCAGCGTTGGCAGTTTGATGAGCATTGGCGTAGCTAGGAATGAAAGGCCCGGAATCGTAACTCTTACATGGAGGTGGAGATTTGTTTCTGTGATGGGAGCGTTGGGAGAATTTGAAATCAATTGAGCTTGGTGGCATCGATATTTTAAACCACTCTAGTGTGACATATTAGCTACAGAACTTTGAATTTAATTTGCCCACAATCTTCCACATTTGGAGTCTTTTTCCTCTGTCCTTATATATAAAAAAGGTAAGAGTTTGTATCGAAGACACGACGTTAGAGTTGATGTAGGATTACGTGTTCGGTATCAATATTCGGCAACTGTGTTAGGGAAACCTCTTTTTCCCATCACGAAAACGCCTCTAATTCTTACGCATTTTCGTGCACAAAACGCATGACATTTTTGGTTCATTCAATAGATAATTAAAAAAGCGATAATTTATTCGAGGAATTTCTTACTAAAATTTTCCTTTCGCGAGATATTGGCGATCAATCATATAAATTCTTGATTTTTTGTTTTTTTTTCTAGCGTCCTGGAGAAAACCTTACCTTAATTTGAAGTGTTTCCGGTTAATTGATAAAACCATGTGGTATTCGATCATTGCGAGAATGTTTATGTACACTTCAATACTGTTACGCATTCGTCCACAGACGTTTTATTACAGGGTACATATCAATGAACTTTGGAGGTGATGTGGCTGGCAGTAAGGCAAAAGAACGTTCAATGAAAATTAACTCTTAATCAATTATAATTTATGGTGATCTATTAGGGTGTTCAACACAGATGAGGCTGGCGAGCTGCATGTTGTTTGGAACGAGGGCGACGCGCTTGGCTTAGATGAACCACAGTGACTTACGAAGAGCTACTAAATCCGATCAGTAGCGGTGCGGCTTCTTCCTTCTTCTTCGGTGAAAGAACGCTCATGTGGGCTGCAGCTCGCTGCTTGAAGGCAGCCTTTCGTTGTGTACTGGAGACCAATGTTCATCGCCACGCACCGAAAGCACTGCTGCTGCTGCTGCTGCTGATGATGATGACGACCGACCAGACATCACCACACACGGTAATGGAATAAGCACTGTTTGGCGACACCGGATGGAATTCGATTTTGAAATCTGTGTTAGGGAAAGCGCTTTTTGCAGGCAATTGGTGATAATTTTGATCACCATTGCAACAGTTGGACATTCGTGTAATGACCTATTGAAAATTGATAAAGTGTTCATTTTAACAAATTCTTAGAAAAATTGCCAATCGATTGGCTTGTTTAGAATTAGAATCCATCCGCCATTGACAGAGTTATAAGTGGTCAAAACCTTACCACTTTTCGTAATGCGGTCGACTTTATTTTTTTTAATTGCACCCCCAATATGTTGCCAAAAGATGTAATCCTACGTATTTTTTTAATCTAGGATCTAGAAGTTTTTTTTAGAAATCACAAATCTCGAAATACAATGATAGTCCAATGGTCATTACAATTGCTGAAGCCTCAGAGTCTTGGAAATTTTCTCAATTACATTTTTAAGATTTCTATTAGTACATAATACGGAATGTTCAAACATTCTCTTACTCCGAGATTTCCATCAATTTTACCTAGATCTGGTTTGTATCAAGTTCAACATTTCTAACACAATTTTTCAATTCAATATTCCATTACTCAGTTTCTCAGTGAGTTCTGGGGCTTTGTATAAATAAGATGTCTCGAGCTAAGACATTTGTATTTTTATCCAAAAATAATTAAAAAAATTTGCACTTGTTACGTTAAAAAAAAAATCATTGAAATCTTTCGTTTTTGCTGAATATATTAAACCGGGAAATTTTTGAGATTTGAGCCGGGAAAACCAGGAAAAACCCGGGAATTTAAAAATGAACCGACCGCTTTGATGTTGTTTCTGAACTTGAACTGGAACAATCTTCTTGGGATCATTTTGGAATATTGGACTTGATTTTTTTTTCTTATTCAATGGCATAGACAATATATTACCTCTAGGACTTAAAGATCCAGGATTTGTGAAAATTTTCAATAATCGTAATTAGTAACCTTTTTTTTTAATTTTGGGCTCTTCAAGAAGCCGAATATTTTTTAAATGCTGAATAGATCGAATCAAAATTTACCATTAATCACTCGATTTTTTATCCACCGTTAGATTCTTGAAATATCCTCTTCAGGACTGGCATTTCAGAAAGTAACCCAATAAATTATTGAATCCATTTATTTTTTATTTCACTTCACCAGTTTGAATTGGCTATAGAATCAGTTCGGCAAACATAAAAAAAAAATAAAAAAAAATCGACTTGTCCTTCTCCGATTTGCATAAAATTTTGCATCATTATTTGTTATGCGCAATCATTAACATTTTTTTTTCAAAAATTGGATCTTCCAAAATAGCGTCTTTGACATTTTTCACTAAATTGTAGCACGAAAACGTCACTTTTGATCGATATGACGTCTGAGACAAAGTTGTTGAGAAAAGTAAAACCTTTCTGGGAAAAAGTTACACGCTAAATTTTTATTTGTTATTATAAGTAAAAATTACAAAAAGTGATAAAACTCAAATATCTCAAAAAGTATATCTTCGTTTGGTTTAAACATAAAGCTCATGAAAAATTCGACTTTTTAGAATATTTAAAATTATGGATACTTGAAAATTGACGAAAATCATAGACAATTAACTTTTGGTCATATTCTTAAACTTGTTGCCTTTTATGTAATATTTGCACAGAAAACGATTAGGAATATTTCAAATGTTGTTTCCTGTGTAGAAATTTCATAAAAAAAAGCATACTAGTAAAAAGTTCAAACATTTTCCAAAAGTTTTTGTTTCACACATTTTGTTAATTTTCATGTGTCCATGGTTTTCGATATTCCAAAAGATTTCAGTTTTAGTTTTTAAACATTTTTTTGAATTTTTGCTCTAAATTATCATAACTTATTACGTTTAATTCTACTTTACAAAATATCCTGTTCCCAGTGTGACAAAATATACATTTGGACCAGGCTTGATGGAGCCTCGCTCGCGAGTTTGAAATGAACCAACGTAGCATTTTTCTTAGGAGTAGAACTGCTAAATCATTAAACTGAGCTTCAGAGCTTGTGAGCGAAGGGGCATAAAATGAGAGTGAGCTTTGCTGCCATTCATGTTCATGTTTTCTATCACACGCTCTTACTCTCACTCTGGGTGAACTCTGAGCTTCTTGCGTCGAACAAAAAAGTCATCCGGAGTCTTGAAAAGCGCACCTCACGTCAAATCATCCTCTCGCTGAAGTTAACTCTCCCTCTCTCTCGAGGAGCTTTTGTTTACTTCTACCATATTCCTGCCGCAACTCACTCGATGTGAGGGCTGGCTAAACTTGCAGGACAAGAACATTTTAAAACGTTCAGTTCAGTTCAGCCTGATTTGGACAGACAAAAAAAAATTAGATACAAGATTTTTTTTTTGTTTATTAATTTATTTGATAAGGCTCAATCGAATTAACTTTACAGAGCCGAGGATTCTTGTTCACTATAAAATACATCTTAAAACTATAGTCAAAAGGTACAGCACAATAAACACTTTATCTTCCGCTATCCAATAAGCCTGCTCCATCAGAACGGAAGCCGCTTCCAGTGATTTCATTGTATGGCAATATCGCCAACGGGGGGCAAAAAGCTTCCATTGCAGCAATGGAGGCAAAACGTGGTCAGCACTCACACACTCATCACGAAACTGTTGCTTTACAAAGTCGACGACGCATCGACCGAAAGAACTGCTGATGAAGAACAATGAGGAGTATCTACGTACCTGAATAAACAAAACACGCGTACCTGTACTGTGTTACTATCTACATAACAAACATCCCAGGCTTCAAAATTATCCGGATAAGCATGGATAATATAATTATCTGGATAGACCTATCCAGTTGATAGAATTACCGGAGTCTATCCCTATCCACATTTATTTCCCTCCAGATAATATCCAAGTTGATATTATCCGGATAATTTCCACTTGGATATTATCCATTATTTTTCTATCCGGGTCAAGGGATCAAAAATATCTCTAAATGACAAAATGACAAGCGATCAACGAACCAAATGATAACGCTATGTCAGAAGTGGAAAGCAATAATGATATTTTTCTCATGACAAGCTGCCCGTGCGACACAGTTCACTCGGGGCGGTTGAAGGAAACGAGCAAATTGTTGGCAAGCTGCTTCACGAAGTAAAGCCGAAGACAAATCTAGACTAACATTTGAAAAGGGCGTAATTCCAAAATGACCATATCGAGAAAATCGCTTCTGAATTTTGTTGACCTAAAAATTAATCCTATTTCAAGACTTTCCATTTTCTGGTTGATTTTATAAGCTTGACATATAGTTAATAGTGTAATCTATCATCGTGCATCACTAAAAACTAAAAAAAAAAGTTTTCTTTGTCGTGAAATTGAGAAGAAAACATCATACGCCCTGATAATTTCATACATGTTGTTACCCCCCAGATCTTCCACCCTTTGAACTGCCAACACTGGTGATACGCCGTGGAAGTACACCCTCGGGATTTTTTGTTTGTTGTTCCGCCTTGGTTCTTCGTTCGCAAATTTTGTGAGAGTGGAATTACGCCCAGAGATTTTTTGGTCTTCTTTTTGTTCGTTGTTTACACGTGAAATGTCAATCGGATGCGTTTCAAATGAATCGGGCGTGACTAGATACTACAGAGTCAATACGTTTGGCATATTAAAACAATATAATTCGTTGTTCTGGTGCAAGGCGTAAGAACCATATGCATCATAGATTTGAAAGTTGGAAATACGCCATGTAAGAAGAAACGTTTTTGGTGATTTGAAGTGA